TTAACAACATCAACAACCTTACCAGAACAAATTAATAAAATAAAACAATGAATGTTGCCAAAAAATAAAAAATACAATAATTTTAAATGCATACAAGGGGTTGCAGATCCAAACAAAGTATAAAATAACATGATTAAAGATAGTGAAAAGAAAGCCTGCTTAAAAAGATGGGTCTTGAGACGAGATTTAAAGGTGTTTAGACTATTACTGCTCCTCTATAAAAAACATTTATCAATTGTTTAATTTATAATAACAGTAAAATGACATAATTTTATTTAGCCTACATGTATTTACATTGTTTACATTATCTCACTTTATATTCAGATTTGCACACTATTACGAATGCACACACAAAATCAGTTCACTTTCTAGGTACCATATTGATAAAGATGTCTTCTTTCAGAAAGAGATGCATTGAGGGGACAGATGGGTGAGCTATCACTCAGCATGAGCAATAGGAACTGATGGTTGAGATCTGCATAACAGATGAGGTGTCTGGAGCCTGCACTTTACAGATATTTGATGACACTCAACGCTGATGGGCGAACATCAAGTCTTTGTGAGTGTGTTCTTACCTTTTAATATGCACGACACAACCGTTTTCGAAGTGTGAGGTGAAGTTTCAAGCTGGGCTGGTTGCATAATTTGACTTGATTGCAAAATCTTTATGTGACATGACTGTGTTTGACCTTATATACATATTGACTGGTTTATTTTGGGTGACTTGCTCTATATGGATGTACTGAATGTTGAATCTTTTCATAAAAGTCACTGCTACAGTCTTTAAGTCAACATTGTTACCTCAAAGGTGTTAACTAAAAATTCAACTTTTGTATTTTTAGGTACTGATGTGTAACTATAAGCTATACTAATATGACCACACATACATGCAGAAATCTGCAGATTTTTGAGCATATAATTTAATAAAGCCTATTTATTTTACCTTAATAGGGCTGCACAATACATCGTTTCAGCATCGATATCGCTATGTGATCGTTTGCAAAAGTTATCTTGCAAGGATATATGCAATGTTGGGTCCAAATTATTACTGATGATTTTGTAAGTGTTTTTGAGGCCTGTGACTGTTATTAATGATTAATTTTACTGAATTGTTTATAAAATGAAGACTATGCCTTTATATATCTTTATCTTACACCTATACTGTACCTTTGTAGCCCAAAATTGTACCCTAAAGCAGGGGTTCCCAAACTTTTTAGCTCGCGACCCCCAAAATAACAATGCCAGTGACTCGCGACCCCCAATATCCTCTGAGGCGGTTATAAATACAGAAACCTTGCATGCAATGGCGCACACACACCAATAAACCAAAGTCTATTCTTCATTTTATTATTTTTTTAAAATGTATGTCGGTGCTGTAAATGTGCCAGAAAGTTTAACCTGGTCTTATAAAATCAATCTGCTGCATCTGACGCTATTACTGAGTCTTTAATATAATGTAATTACCTGAGGGGTCGCAATCCAATAGAACTAGTAACTATAAGCTTATAAAGTTACTATTTACAGAAGTGTATATAGTAACTGTAAACAACATTTTTTTTAATAGGTTATGGATTAAAATGTTAATTCTTATGGTTTAATAAAAATAAATAGATTTTTGGAAATCACCAGGCGACCCCCCCTTCATTGGCCTGCGACCCCTCGGGGGGTCCCGACCCCCACTTTGAGAACCACTGCCCTAAAGGACCAATTTGGGACTTTTAAAGGTACAATTATATATTTTGTTTCACTGTTTTACTGACAGTGTGTATTATTTTACATTTGATTTTTCAGTTACTGTCTACCTGAATACATTTTGACTGTTTGAAAAACAATAAAATAATGTTTATTTAATTTGTGTCTTTTTCTTTTTTGAATTCATGCTTGTAGGTTGTAATTTATGCACTCTCCTACAGATTCATCCCAGTCAATATAAAATATAAATACTTTCCAAACAGTTATTCAACTCATCTAGGGAAATCATTTTGCTATATATATATATATATATATATATATATATATATATATATATATATATATATATATATATATATATATATATAAAATATCTTCTGTCTTAGTGTATACATTTATTTTTTAAGAGACCCATGTAAGGCAAGCCTTTGTTTTAACCTTAAATAACTTGCACAATATTAATCCTTAAATACCTATTTTGCTCAATATTCACCTTTAATAACTCTCTTGCACAATATCATGCACAACATTGTTCAGTCTCATGTAAAAGTACTCTGTATAGCCTGTCTTGTGTATAGTTAAGTATCTTATGTTAATTATGCATGGGTTTTTGAAAAAAGCTCTTATGTCCAGTGGTCCAGCGAGACACAACATTTCGTTCTTCTGTATGTCCATACAATAAAGCCTAATTCAACTTTCTAGATTGTGATTGTTTTTTATGTGTTCTTTTTATTAGGTTAGGTTTTCAGTTCATAATCTGCACGATACTAGGCACACTTATTAACAATTCTGTGCAGACATAGAATAATAATAATTAAAATCAGCAAATTCTGTCTGACCCTGCTTATATAAATATGTACCATTTGAAACTCTGTAACATATTTTGTAAACCTTTTTTTTTGAGAGGGAAGGTAGAAAGTTAAATTGTGCCTATATTGATACCAGAACTGATGATGACTTTCTTGAGAAACTGACTTGAGCCACGGGTACAGTTTACACCTTTATCTAATGCTTAAACACTTATTTTACCATTCACATCTATATTGAGTAATCCACTTAATTGTGATCGAGTCATCTGATGATAAAACCAGGTGCAAAAAGGGCCATCTCAGTTTAATTTAAAACCCAAAGCCTGAAACTGTTGACGGCCTCTACAGGAACCCCTTGAATGTATATTGATACCTCACACTCCCTAAAGTCAGTCTGCTAATTCTTTTGAATATGCTAAATTGTTGCCATTGCAAGATGACCCAAGGATGGCACAATATGCTTATCCATAACCACTGTTAAATAGACAAATGATATTATTAATCCTTACTTAACAGCAAAATTGCCTATATTTTTTTCACCTACTAAATAATTGAGGCAGCTATTTGTATCAGCCTTTTGAGTATTTTAAACTCATTTTATTTTAGTTTAGACTGTTAAATTGTATTTTACTTCGCATGTTCTCAACTTTCAACATCTCCTCAGTTTGATCAATTTTCAACTTGTAGTTTTGAGTTTGTCAAACCTGTTTTTAAGCAAAATTTACCTATTTATTGTAATAATCCTCGCAGACTTTTAAATTACTATTATTCAGTGAAACTTGAGCTTTTAAGTTTAATACCCACATAAATATATTATTTTCGACCTATGTTTAGTTTGTTAAACCCTTAAAAACCACACAATTAACATTTAGTACAAACATGAATCTTTATTTACAAGTATCATTTCTACAAGTATCAAACAAGAAACACACAGTTAAATGGATTTATTAAATTAAAAAAAACTCTTCTTACAGTATTATAGAATTAACTTAACAATATTACCACACTGTAGCAAATCCATGGTTGCCTTAATTTTTTAAGTTGAATGAAATTAACCTTATTGAACTTATATTATGTTAAAATGACTTAAAACTGCTTGCATAACTTATAAGTTAGAACATGATTAACTTAGTTTAATAGGTTACAATAAATTACAAATGCTGTCACGACCAATTGTTCATATAAGTTTTTACAGCGCACATGTGTGTTTTTTTCTTACCACATTTATTGTCTTTCATGTATTTATTGTCTTTAATGATTACTGTCAACATTAATAATAGTAAATTGTTTTGTTTTTTGGAGTATGTTGCTTTTTTGCATTGTCTGGAGCCAGCACCTAAGCTTTTCATCACAGTACACGTGCTGATGATGATGTGACAATACAAGTGATCTTATATTTGGAACCAGGCTTAACAAATAAAGAAAAAGACTCTTTATTTAGACAGGAAGCATTCAGTTGTATGTAAACAGTAAAAATTTTCGAAAATGTTTCTGTTTCAAATGAATAAAATGTTGTATATTTAATTTTTTTTTTCATTTTGACCGTGAAAAAATAAAGCTTTTTGGGGAGGAAGGGTCATGGAGAGATCATATAACAAGAAAGACTGGATTGATGATAAAAGAAAGTAGGCTATATACGCACAATAAGTTAGATTTTACATGAATGCAGCCTTGCTGAGCGCAACAGAAGAAAACATTTTTTACAATTCACCACAATAATTTCATCATATTATCCAAAGCAGAGATATCCAAACATAGTGGATATTAAGTATAAGCTAGTTTAAGTTGTTGGTCATGCTAGCTATTTTCAGGTGCCAAAAAATAAACATCAACAAAGCAGTTTTTGCAAATATTTTAATGTAATCTGAAAGTTTAGAAAGAAAGCGACTCTTTATTCAGGAAGGGACCGTGGAGAGATCATGTAACAATAAAAACTGGATTGATAATGCTGAAAGAAAGCATATGCACAAACTAAGATTTATTTCACATGAATGCAGCCTTGTTGAGCACAAGAGGAAAAAAGAATTTGTACAATTCACAATAGTTTTATCATTTTATATACAAACCATTTTATACAAATATGCCCCAATATAAGCTAGTGAATGGGTAAGCTTAAGCTGATAATGTTATAAGCTATTTTGGTCGACCACTGATGAATAAAGGGACTGAGCCGAAGGAAAATGAGTGAAAGCGTTATTTTGGTAAGCTATGCTATCGTTAGCTTCTAGCCAAAACAGAAACATCAACAAAGCGGATTTTACTTTATTATAATATTTGAATCTATGGAACATTTATATGCAACGTCGTGTAAAAGTAATTTCAGTTTTTTTGCACTGTTTAATAATTTGTTTGGAACCCAAATCCAAGAAATGCATTTAATGACCACGGTGACTGGCAGGCATTATAGCCCGGAGAGCGGTGTTTTGGGAGGGATTGTAATCCTCGCGTTTTCTCGCGAGATGTGATTGACGACTGCTGCAGAATTCAAACTAGCCGTTTGAAAGTTCTCCAGCAGGAAAGCGGCGGAGGTTCCTCAGTCTTCAGTTAAAGTGTTTCTATCGCCAAATACCATTCAAACTTGAAGGTAACCCGTTCAGATGAATGCTTTCTACTGTAGGTGTCAATTAGATATGATGCTAAGAAAACGGGTTGATTATGAATGCCGCGCGATGTCTTTGATCGAAGTTTACATAACATTAAGTTAGTTAGCCCGTAGCAACGAACTAATGCTGTTAATGTCATTTATGATACTCAACATCACAATTCCAGATATGTATAACTTTCTTATAAACATAAAACCTTGTAACGTTAAGTTACCATTTAATATTCCTCTATAAACACACATGCAAGAATGAAAGTGAATGGTGATTGACAGGGATAGACTGAGCTAATGTATAAACAATGTAATGCTAGTTTACCCAAGTCATTTAAATATGCAAGAACATTAGAGTTAAGTAAAATGTGTACTTGTGTAATGTTTTAAGTAGCTTAATAAAATGTAGTTAAGTTAGGTAGTTAATAAAATGACAATAAATATTTTTTTGTTATTCAGCTTCACTTTAATTATTTAAAATATGTGATCATACTGTATGAATGATTACTTTTTATTTAAATGGTAAAACTGACTAATAGTTAATTTAATAATAATCATTTGTTGTTGTTTTTTTACCCAGACATTTAAAAAGCACCTAATTTAGAGCATTAATTACAATATCATGAAACTGTTTTTTTATTTTTTGTTTGTTTTTATCCAAGGTTATCATACCGTCAAAATCTTATACCAGCCCATGCCCAAATTGGAGTGATCTTCTCGTATCGATGGTCAAGATTGAGCCGGTATAAGTTTCTGACGATATGATAACCTTGTATAAAAATATTACGGTATTGTGATTACTGCTTTAAACTGAGTTATTTTTTTAAATGTATGGGTAAAACAAAAAAAACAAAAAAACTTTTCCCCATTGTACACAATTTTTTTATTTTAAGAAACAATATTTTGGAGCACTAAAAATGTCAGGCTAAATAGTTAAAATAAATCACTAATTTCTGCTTTCTTCATTAGCTTCAAAAGCACAGATTTCTTTACAACAAATAAAAATACATAAAAAAACCTTACATATAACTAGGCCCACACGGAATCTGCGTGCGCAGAATTCTGCAGATTTTCCGCAGAATTTTGCAGATTTTTTGCCCATCATTAATTCTGTTTATTTACTTGAGTAAATGTGTCAATCTAAATTTATTCAGTTTTTATTCAGTAATTTATTACTTTTTGATTCATATATTAAGGTTTTAGTTTTGATACTCCGCTGGATACTCCCAAAATAATTCTGCAGAAATCCGCAGATTTTTACCAAAATTCTCAGCAGAAATAGCAAAAAACATCCGCAGATTCCGTCTGGCCCTACATATAACCATGGAACGGTACAACAGAACATTTTAGCGGTATTAAAACCTTGATTTTTCCAAACTGTGGTACACCTTGAAAACAGTGCATTATTGAAGTGTTTCCTCAACGATTTTTTCATATACACCATAAAAACTTGCCTTAACTGTTACTGTCCAAATGTGTGCTGTCTGGGGTTTACCATCATATAATGCAATATTCTGATATTTGATACTAAATTAAATAAATTAACCAGAATTATATAAATATGCACTATTGCATTGCGATACCTATTAATGCAGTCTTCTATACGTTGGAGGATAGGGTGAAAGTCTGAAAACAACTGTATTTTTTGCCTTTGATAATGCTACTTGTAGCAAATAAATGACACACTTTAGGTTTAAAGGGATAGTTCACCCAAAACAGACAATTCTGTCATCATTTTCGCAACCTTCACTTATCATAAACCTGTTAGAGTTTTATTTTAAATGTAAAACTGTCTAATAGGCAATATAATGGTTATAATGATATAAACCCATACAGTGCTCAACATATATAAATGCCTTCACAAATCTATCTGTTAAATTAATTCTTTTAATATAAAGCTATACAATATTATTTTTTTGCATTTACATTAGATTAGTCAGTACTGAAGCCAAATCTGGAGCTTATCTATCAAAATACCTTACAATAATGGTCCAAAAACTAGTACACCCAACTTTGTTATAGAAAAATATTAAATACAAATTTAAAAAAGAGGAAAAGTAAGAGAAGCAAAAATAAAATGGAAACGTTTATTTGAAATTTTGTAAGTTGTAATTTTTTGTTGCAAAATTCTGCTTATATTTAATTGTATCTTTCAATTTCTAAATATGTTTGACTGAAATTTTATTAGAGTAAATATATCTGTTTAATAAATCTGTTTTGTTTATATGCACCAACATACATTGCCTATATACACTGAGAAATGGATCAAATATTAAATTTTATTTGGATATTAATTTTTTTCAATTTTATTCAATATTCAAAAATGTTGGTGCCTCATTATGATACTATTATGTATCATTAAGCATTTGTCATCTAATTGTTGTTTGAAAAAGCTGTAAGATTTTTTTTTTTGCTTGAGTTTTAAATTACTGTTAGATTAAGTGGCATTTTGTTTTCTTACTTTTGTTAATCATGATAAAATATTTTACATTTATAGTTACTTTTTGCAGCATGTCACCCAGTGATTATTTTGATGCTTGAAAACCACATTTGACCAATTCTATCACATTCAGTACACATTTTTCTCTCTCTCATTTCAGATGTCAGATCTAGAGGATGAGATTAAAGTGTTGCGGCGAAAGGTGCAGGATGGTGAAGAGGCTCTTCAAAGGGCTGGACAGTATGGACTTCAACTTTTGGATGAAAAAATGGAACTGCACAACAGATTGGAAGAACAACGAACTGAGATGTCCAATGTTATTGAGGTACTACTGACCAAATCATTGATCTCAATAATGTGATTATTGGAGTGTTTCCTCTAGGATTTTTTCCAGCCGTGGTGGCAGGCCTTTTACACAGATCTTCCAACTACATATGGTGTTATTTCAATGGCAAATGTGATGAGTGCAGAATTATAAGTTAAGATCGCATTCATGTAATACGAGCATGCAAATCTTATTGCTTGTGCGCCAATTTCCTCTGTTCATGCACAAAACTTTTAGCACGCCTCCTAAAATATGAGCTGCTCAAGCGTAGATTTTCTTGTGCGCTCTCAAATAAACACTGCAGAAGTGTGATTTATTGCATTTATGTAACGAGAATGTTTCCAACATTTACTAGGAAGATTTCTGAATGTCTCCAATAGACCAATGGCATTGATGCATTCTGAAGTAAAGTGAAACGGCCATAAACTCCTGCAAGATAAAGTCATTGTATGCAGAACCAAAGACCTTTTTCTATAAATAAAGTAAAATTATGGAAACTGTGTTCATCATAACTAAAAGCTAGAATGCTGGCCTCACGCATCACACAGCCCCATTAGTCAGTCAGTCAGCATGTAACCTTAAACAAATAACGCACAGCACTACTACGATTACAGAAATGTTTACTCTTTTATAATTTGCTTACAGTTTAATACGTTTTAGTGTGATTATAAAATGCTATTTAAAAAAAGCAACAACTGAAGATAGAGGTAAAGTTGGTTTTATATTCACACATTCGTTCATTTAGCAGTCTATATATTGTTTACGATGTTACTTTGAATATTCGATCGGAATTAGCATGCAAGTGTGACCTGAAAACAACATTAACACTGTTAATTTGACTGTGAACAATGTTGTACTTTGATAGTCATTGGCTGCTAATATGATTTTCCTATTTAAAATTTGCAATGAATACTTTTCTGAAATGATATTATTAAGGGGAATGTCTGAAAATCCGATTATAAAACCAACTTTACTTTTATCAACTGAAGGTTTTTAATGAGAAACTGTAATGAAGCAGTGGCAGGAATGTATTTTGGTGTGGCGTCTCGCCATGGAAGAATGAATGTAGCAGAAACCATGTATTGTGTGTCAGTGATAGATTTCCTTAATAAAAATACATTATTATGTCATGAATGTTCTCTAATTTCAGGCCCTGGAACAAGATAAATACTCTTTGCAAAGAGAAGTTGAGTTAAAGATCCGCATGTTGGAGAGTCTAAGGTCTGAATTTGATCTTGTCAGAACCCAACAAAAACATCAAATGGAGCAGCAACAAACACTGCTGGAGAGGAACCATGCTGTGGAGATCAGCGACTTAAAAAACAAGGTGAGCTCATTCGTTCTTTTCAGAAGTCATATACTTTCTAGCATTGGTTTCTCTTCCATTTTCTTTTTCCATAAAAGCTGACGGATATCATTTTTGAATGTTTCAATCATTTCTGACTGGGAGAGTCAATCATGTCACAATATACCCAATGGTGTTTTCACAATGTGTTTTGTGCCTGCTGTAAGAAATGAACAGCCTAAATCAGTACAACAATTAGGGCTGAACAATATATCGATTGAGCATCGATTACACAATGTGTGTATCAGAAATAGTCACATCACAGGATTAAAGTATTTAATAAAGATAAAGATTATTGTATATTATTGCTTAAAATGATTTATACAGTGATGACGTGTTACATTTGATTGTTGGATTTCTATATCTGAATACTGTTAAACCCCTCATTAAATTATAAAGCACTGCTTATTTAACTTTTATTATTACTCTGTTTTGTTTATAAATAAAATGTTTATAAATCTATATGTATTCAACTATTGTATTCATATATATATATATATATATATATATATATATATATATATTAGGGATGTGTGGAGCAGCCGGTATTTGTATTTGTATTTGTATTTGTTGAGGGGGAAAAAATATTTGTATTTGTATTTGTATTTGTATTCGAGTAAAATTCAAAATGGCGCAAAAATATATATTTTCTTTTACACTTCTAATTTACGTTATAGTGAAAGTATTGTTTAATTATACCCATTATATAAATTATAGATATGCAATATTGGCTGTTGTTTTTGAACATGTGATAAGAAATGTCATTGAAAAGAAAATAACATAGAAGCCATTATCTCATCCATGATTAAACCAACAACTAATAAAATACCATTGTGAATATTATGAACCCCACCACCACTGTTCTTGTTGAAGGACACTGAATAGACAGAATAAAAACAAATAATACTTCAAAAAACTGTTCTTCTTCTGAAAGAACTTTTTTCCAATGCACAGAATTCCAAAAACTAATATTAACTAAATAAATCTAAATAAAACCCTGCCTGGGAGATCTGGCAGAACAAAAGTATTCTATATAATACTAAAAGATACAGCCCAGCTATTGTCATCTGCCTGCCACAAAAAAGACACAAAGTTTGTTTAATTGTTTTTTTTTATGTTTAAAACTGACTTGCTGGGGCAGAATGTGGCTGTGTTGATGCTTTTAGGATGCTTTTAGTGCATGTGATAATACATTACATATAAGGTTGCGCGGTGCTCTGTTCAGTGAGAAGCATTTTAGCATTTAAATCTTTGTTCTGACTCCATAAATATATTAGAGATATCTCTAATTATATTTTGACTAGTCATAATTATAATTCCACTACTCAGAATGACAATTAGACATATCTGCAATTACAATTGTACTAGTACGAAATCAGATGAATTTTGACTAGTAACAATTGTAATTGATATCTGAGTTTTTACTAGTCATAATACATTTAGAGATATCTTTAATTCATCATATTTAGAGAGATTTACAAATATATTTGAAGATATCTCTAATTAATTTACTAAAAGTCTAATTACAGTTGTAGATATCTTGAATTGGATTTTTGACTAGTCAAAATTCATTTGGAGATATATCTAATTACAATTGTGACTAGTCAACTTATTTAGAGATATCTGCAAATATTTTTCAATGTAGGTCAATGGAGGAATATGACTATTCTATCATAATATATTTGCAGATATTTCCAATCTGACTAGTCGAATTATAATTATGACTAGTCAAAATATAATTAGAGATTATCTAAATATATTTATGGATAGTCTGAACAAGGTTTAAATGCTAAAACGGCTTGCCATACGCTCTCATCCAGTAGCACAGTGGAGAGTTCTCTAGTTATATCCTTTCAAGTCGTTTGTTATGCAGTGACATGAAGTCAAATATTTCGCCAAACAGTCCTTAGGGATGTGGTGACTCGCAGTCAGATATTTTACCGGACAGATCCGCCACTTTTGGCGCGCATAAACAATCATAAAGCTCTCGTGCTGCAGGAAGGAGGAGGTCTGCTGAAGGCGCGCAGCTGACGTGCAGTGAGGAGTTTGCGTCTTTAATAAACTACGGCAGTTTGCGATCACTGAACAGTAAGAATGATTAATAAATCCATATGAAACAACCCCTTAAAAGTCACGTCTCGCTTTCAGTTTCGGGCTTTGGCGCGTTTTGCCTCTCTCTCTCTCTCTCTCTCTCTCTCTCTCTCTTTCTCTCTCTCTCTCTCTCACTCTCTCTCACTCTCACGCGGGCATGCACTGTGGTCTCATGAGGAAACGCTGCTTTTTGATATAGGCTAGTGTTTTTCTTGCTCCCGAAAACAAATAATTTTTCAAGTATTTGTTCGAATCAAGTATTCGTAAAAACACGCTATTCGTGCCTTTCCGAATACCGTATTCGGGTTCGGCTCCACCCTTAATATATATATATATATATGTATTCTGAGTTATTCAATTCATCTGGTAACATTATATTCGTATTGCAGTATATATTGCAACAAAATATTGCAATGTCAGATTTTTTCAATATTGTGCAGCCCTGACATCAATGTATTTGTCAACCAAAAACTATAATTGTGCTTGCTTACTATTCTGTATATGAGTTAGGGCTGGGTTATTTTAGCCTGAAATCATGACCTTGAATAATTAAACATTTTAACTCCATTACAGTTAATAATTTATTTCAATTTATTTATTTATTTTTAGTCCTCATAGTTCACTGACAGGTTTTGTACAGTAAATACGCTCACATATTACAAGAGTTTTGAACAGAGGGTGCATTACTTGATTTTAAAATAATTATAGGAAACACACACTATCAACTATTTTTGATTATTTATTGAACATCAACATTGAAATTAAAACACATTTTAATGTAATGGGATATATGCCATCTCAAGGCTTCTCTGGTGTAGCTTTCAATCATCATCAGTGTAGTGCAAATAAGGCTCAAGAATGGGTCCATCATCCGACTTGACCAGAGATGAGATGTGGCTGGTAAGTGCTGAACATTTTTTAGTTCAGCAGCTACATTTCACAACATGTCTTGTACATTAGCAGGGCCACGTGAGTCCACATGCGGTAGGGAAAGTAATAAAAAAAAAATCAGCATGAAAAACTTAGATTGATTATAGGTTCTGTCAATTTCGTTTACTTTTTGATTAATCGGCCAGCCCTTATATAAGTAACACCGCTCACAATCTTCTCTACAAATGGCTCATGTTGTTATAAATCAGGGGTGTCCAAACTCAGTCCTGGAGGGCTGGTGTCCTGCTGAGTTTAGCTTCAACTTGCTTCCACACACCTGCCAGGATGTTTCTAGTATATCTTGTAAGAGCTTGATTAGCTGATTAGCTTGATTAGCTGGATTAGGGTTGGAGCTAAACTCTTCAGGACACCGGCCCTCCAGGACAGAGTTTTTGACTCCCCTGTTATAAATACTTTCATGTATTGGAATGTTCAGGTAATGTGACAGCCTCTGTCTGTGCCATCTTTAATTCTTTGTTTTGCTTTCATTACTTTGCTTTTATTCTTGTGCATTGATACATTTGCTGAACTTTATATCTAATTGCAATGATCTCGTCATCTTATCTACGATCTAGATGTGAAAATACACCACAAAAACCTACCTCAACTCTCAATATCCCAACCCGTGCTCTCTGGGAATACCATTATTTTATGCACTATCACCATATTTGATACTGAATCAGTTAAGAATTGTGTTAATATACAATATTATATACTATTATATCATGCACCTTGTATTGCCATACATATTAATACAGCCCTATATTTCTGACCTAGGAAGGGAGGAAAGGGATTTATTAAGGTTTAAAGGGATAGTTCACCCAAAACTGAAAATTCTGTCAACATATACTCAATTTTCACTTGTCACAAACCTGAACACAAAAGAAGATACTTTGAAAAATGCTGAAAACCGATAACCTCTGACTTCCTAGTATTTCTACTATGAAAGTGAATGGTTACTGGATTATAGCATTCTTCAAAGTTTCTTCTTTAGTGTTCAACAACAACAAAAAAAGAAAACTCTTAAAGCTTTGGAACCAATTGAGAGACAGTAAAATAGTGATTCGATTTCCTTTTCACCTTTTAAGCATGAAATCAAAATTATTTATTGACTTTATAAAATTGCTTTGCAGGTGGTGAAAATGAAGACTGATTTAGAGGAGGCTCAGCTTGCCGAGAAGCAGATGAGACACAAGCTGGACCAGCAAGCTGAAGCACTAAACAGCAAAACTGAAGAACTGCGTGCCCTCACAGAACGCGCACATGAAACAATGTCCTCAGAGATCCTTGAGCTGCAAGTGCAGAAGATGGAGTTGGAATCTGCAATGGTAGAGTACTGTCTGATAATTATTTTGAATGGAAGTATATAGGTTTGAGGGCATAAGCCATGTTTGTGTGCACTTGATGTTGAAGTGTTATCTTGTCTTACAGGCTACTCTGGAGCAGGAGCTTCAGGAGGCTCAATACAAAGACGAACAGTTACATTTGGCCAACACCACCCTCCAGAGGCAACTAGAGAGACTCACAGAAGAGAAGGAGGAGAGAGAGAAAGAGGCAGTGTCTTGCTATAACGCTTTGGAGGCATGTCAATACTCATTTTTGTAAAACAATTGTTTATAATACCTTAGTCTGGGTAAGATTTAAAAAATAGACATTTGTCACAGTTCAATGAAGTTTAATATATTTGATCAAATATTAAGTAAAATTACTATTAAAACTTTATATATATATATTCTTCATTTATTATATAAATCAAAGCTGAACTTTCATGCTGCAGAAACCATTGTAGTATAATAATCTGTTTTTTTTTATTTATTTCACAATGAATAAAAAGTTTTAAATAACAGCATTTGTGTAAAAAAAAAAAACTTTTGAAACCATGTTGTAGGCTTAACTTTCAGTTGATAGATTTAATAGATCCTTTCAGAAAATCTGCGGGGTCTTTAAATATCTTAGAATTGAAATTTTATAGGCCTTAAAAACTCTTAAATTTACTGAAATATTGAGTTGTAGGTTTCAAATCTTTTCTAAACAGGTCTTTATTTTTTTTTATTCATGTATTGTTACACAATCCGGACAACAAACTGTCACCAACAACCATCTAAATAAACCAAACTTTTCATTTAAAAAAGTCATTTTTAATGCAATTTACCATAATAGTTTTAAGCGTTTGTTTAAAGGTGCTTTATGAATTTATTGCTGATTACTCCAACCTGGACAAATAGTTGTGCATAGATTTAGTTTATTATAGTTATTTTTTTAAACATTTGTAAAAAATTTTTGTTGATGTTTGAAAAAAATTGTGTGGATACAACTAGAGCTTGCTTGTTTTTAAATAATGTTAAAATATATTTTTAATTAATATCTAAAATATTTAAATTAGTTTTTATTAAATTATTATTTGTTTTATTAAATATATTAAATAATAATAATTTTCATCTGGGCCATTTGAAAAACTCTAAGTGTTTAGCCCTTTTTGACTCTAAAATTTCATTCATAATGGTCTTGAAAAGTCTTAAATTTAACTTGGTGAAACCTGCAGAATCCCTGTCATTTACCAACTTTTGAAAGATGGTACAGTGTATATCGATATAGTTACTGCTCTGAAACACATTTTCTATGCTGCACATTTTCTTCACTCAATAATAAGGCATTAATACAAAATCCTTTTTGTTCTCTTCCATGTAGAAAGCTCGTGAGGCAAACCAAGACCTTCAGATCCAGCTGGAGCAGGTGTTGCAGCAGGCACAAGATCCAAACAGCAAAGGCAATTCCTTGTTTTCTGAGGTACAGCATTACTTCTACTTTTTAGCATAGTGTTATTTAAGTGTAGCAAGAGCTTTGATTATGAGACTTAAACGCAATAACTATATATTACTATAAACTTATGCCGAGTTCAGGCTGCACGATTTTGACTCACCGACAGGTTTTTGAGAAATCGCAGACAAAAGTCTGAAATCACAGGCAAATCAGTGCTCGTTCATATGAGTAACAATTACACAACTATCAAAGACGTGAGAGAATTGCCCTAAAGTTTCCAATATTCATGAGATATATGGCATGCTAAATATCTGAAGCTGTCATCAAATGTAAAATGTGTTCTGATTAAAAATAACATCGGCGATTACCTACAGCCAATGAGAAAGCAGCATCCAAGCCAGCGGGAAGTTGGAAGAGAAGTTAGAAGTGATAGTTTTTTGGTCTGTTTGGAACCAAAAAAATAAAAATAAAAAAAACTTTCGCAGGAGCACCCATGTCTGTTTGACATGTCATCTGAGCAATGTCAGTACAAATTCCCTTTAAATGCTAGGTGAGCAAAATATTATATATATATATATATATATATATATATATATATATATATATATATATATATATATATATATATATATATATATATATATATATATATATATATATATATATATATATATATATATATATATATATATATATGTGTGTGTGTATACATACACACACACACACACACACACACACAATAAATGTGTTTTCATAACTCTTCTCACGTGTGTTTGGTTGTGAGACGTAGCTTGCTACTTTGAAAATCGTGCAGTGTAAACTCGGCATTACAAATGAGGAACTTAAAAACCTGACAAAAATATTTGGATTTGCACAGGTAGAAGACAAGAGAGCAGCAATGGAGCGGCAGCTGAACAGCATGAAAAGAAATTATGAGTCTCTTCAAAAGCAACATGTCCTTACCAAACAACATATGCACCACATGAAGGTACATTTTATTTCATTTTTTTCCCAAGAATTTCAGTATTATGTACGTCGATTTAAATCATTTCTTGCGTCTGCTGTTTTAGATGCAGATAGCCACTCTTATGCAGCTCCAGGGCAACAGGGCCGACCCAGCCCAGCTTGAACGATTGCAATTCATGTTATCTGACAAGAACAAAGAGATAGAAAGCCTGATGATGAAAGTAAGAGAACTGGAGAAAGAGAAGGTAAGCTTACTGTATTACATCCAACAAACATTAATGTTTGAGACATGTTACTAATAACCATGTCGCCAACAGATGGCTGTAAAAGACCACCATCCACATCCTCCATCTAATGAAGGCGAGCTTAAGGATGAGACATATTACACAGATCTATTAAAAATGCAACTTGCAAATTCAAAGTAAGTGTTCTCTCATCAGTTTGTTTTACCTTATCAGGGTGCTATTGGACTTTAAAAAAAATAATATTGGTGATATTTTTTATAGGAAGGATGCTGAGAAACTAAAGGAAGAGTTATCAATGGCGAGAATGAAGGCTCTCTCTGAAAGTCAGAGAGTATTGGAGTTGGAGAGGAAACTCTATGGCACAGAGCAAGCACTGAAACTAAGACACAGTGACAATATGAAGCTTCAAGTCAAGCTTGAAGAACTAAAGATTAAATACACACCTAATGGTAATTGTTTTTCATCTATGAGCATTAGTTTTCTAATTTTACATCTATATTGAAGGTTAGATTTGTTAACTCTTTCATGTGCAAGTTTTAAATTCTCTAGCTGATCCCCCACTTGAGTTTTTTTTAAATATGACCATTATATATAATGCATTACTTTTATAAGTTCAGATTTATAAGTCAGATTTATCATGACAGCAACAGTGTATTTTTATTTTTTATTTTATTTTATTTTTTGCAAAAATCCACAGTCTTATTAACCCTGTAAAGCCTGACATATCAAAAACAGGCAAAAATATGTTTATTAAAACATCCAAGCAATAGAATACAAAGTATCAAATCATATTCAGCAGAGTTTTAAACAAAATATTGCTTATATTGATGTCATATTGGTCTTAGAAACTCATGTATCAGATGATATGATGCGAGCGGCTTTATTGACCTTATTCTTTGTGTATGAGCAATTGCAGCCGTTTGAATCTTCTGCCTTTAGACTTCCGCTCTCATACACTTCTATTAATTTTAGATGTTAAAAAACGCTCATTATGCTGCTTGATGTTGTAAACCGATATTTTCATGTTATATTATTCTACTTTATCTATATAATAATGAACACACTTTTTTGTAGAGCAAATAATTTGACCGTTCATTATTTCTAGTCATTACTCCCTTAGGAAACTGAACTGGAAGCTGTAAAACAATCATAAAATGACTCCACATTGAAGAATAAGGTCAATAGGGTTCAGTATATCTGATTTTCCGATTCTCAAATGTGTGTAAGAAGAACACAATTCACATGAGAACACATATTTGCATTCTATAGATCATATTAGCTGATCTATAATGTGTACTGCGGTGGAGAAATTAAAGCTGACTAATTTACAACATATAAATTCAACAACTTGTCCTGAAGTTAATGAAAGTGTCTGTTTAATTAGGAAAACAATAGAGTAAATATTCTAGCTTCCTAAAAAGTGTGTATCTGATATGAAGAAAGCAATCTGTCAGATGATGGTGCAAAATAATAATATTATTGCCATGGCAGAAAAGCTGATTTGAATTCAGCAGAGCTGATCATAAAATGAACTGAATATTCTAATCACACAGGTGTTATTGAACAGCTCTAAGGGTAAAGACACCCCTGTTGTGAGCTTTAACTGAACTCAGTTCTTTTTAATACAGTGGTTTTAAAACAATTCTGCTTAACCGCAAAGTTAGTGCAGACAAAAACACTAATCACAACGCTGTACAGAAAAGTCCACCAAACATAAACTCATCATAAGCAAAGTGTGCCAAAAATAAATTAATTGTTCCTTATTTTTGACCCCAGTGAACACAGCAGATCTCACCAATCTCAAAATACTTACATATTTCTATAAATGCATACATATGCTTGAAATATGTTGTTTTCATAGATGCTAAGAACAACTGCAACTTAAAATGAATGATAAAAGGCTGTTAAATGCAAGACAACTATAGTTAAGTTAGGTAACGGTTAGTTAGTTAAGACCTTATTTATCCCGAATGGAAATATGAACTATAAAATTAATAGTAGATTTTAAATACTTTTTGCTTCAATTTAAACCTTGCAACATTGGGATTAAATTCATAGCTGATTTTGTTTATGACATGACTTTATAAACAGTTTTTTAGAAATGCCTATAAAAATACTTCTTAAACCACAAACAATTAAAAAGTGAGCGAATACATTTGCAAGGCAGCTTTTATTTATAGAGCACATTTCATATACAATGGTAATTCAAGGTGCTTTACATAAACAAGAGTAAAAGTAACAAGAAAATAAAGACAACAACGAATAAAAAAAATATAAAATAACATAAAATGTGTTAAAACAAGTTTTAAAGGAATAAAAAACATAAGAATACATAAAAGTGTGTTTTGAGAAGGTCAGTGAGGAGTTCATTACAGTAATCCACTCTGCTAGTGGTTAAGAGCATGAACAAGTTTCTCAAACTCATCACTGGAAACAAAGCCTCTAATTCTTACAATGTTTTTGAGAGGTTAGTATGCTGATTTACTTATTTGACATATGACCACTGAAACTCAGATCTGACTCCAGAATCACATCAAGATTGAATTTTTCTTTGTTTTTTGACCCCTGGAGCCAAGGTACAGATTCACCTTGAGAACCTCATCTCTGTTCCCAAACGCACTGACTTCAGTTTTCTCTTTGTTTAACTGAAGAGCGTTTTGGCACATCCAACTGTTCATATCATCAATGCATTGGTAATTTGCAACTTCCCTCTGTTATCATATGCTGGTCATAAATGTTATGTTGTTTGTTTTCAGAGGTGAACAAAGCACAAGTACAGAAACGCCGTCGGGAGAAGTTTCCTGTTCCAGAAGAAAACTCTGCATCTGTAAAAGACGAAACCACAACCCAGGATACCGAGCCAAGCAAGAACTCGAATGAAAAAGCAGAAGAAAAAACCCCCAGTCATCCTGTCGAGAAGCCAGTTGTGATCCCATTGCAGTCTGAACAACCCACCGAACCCAACCCTGTCCTGTCTCGGGAGAGCAAGTCTGTCCGCATTTGTGAGGATCCTCCAGTATGCATTCCTGATGCACCCAGGTCAGTGCCAGCCTCTGCATGCCAACCCTTCTCCCTTCTGCTGCGCTGTGTCAACTTTACAGTGCTTGTCATCTTCCTCTTCCTGGGTTTTATGAGAACACTCACTCCTCGCCCATCACTTCCTGCTCTACCGCTTCCTCTCAGGAATCCTGTAGCTCGAAGGAACTTGCTTTGACGTTTAATCTCATGACTTCTTGGTTTAATGACTACACATTAAGAAGATTGCTTATTAGGAACTGCTAAATCACTGTGAACGTAATTAATGTTAGCGTCCTAAAAAATAATACACTGTAATGTAATATATTAGAGTACACTTTAAGAGATAGTTAGAGTAGGCATCATTTACTCATCCTGGTGTTGTTCTATTATGCCATAGTATCTTCTTTCATTTTGGACCACGCGATGTCCTGCTTTTATTTAACCATATCCACATTATTTTTTCATTTAAAACCACACATGGCCATTTGTAAATGTAAGGTGCCTGGCTTTTGGAGTTATTTTAAACTACGGCTGAACAATATATTGTTTAAGCATCGATATCGCAATGTGTGTACACACAATAGTCCCATAGTAATATTAGATTATTAATTAAGGATTAAAAGATAAAGATATTATTATATAAATTTTAATTATTGTATACAAATATTTATACAATAATGACTATGTTATTTTATGTTTGATTGCTTAATTTCTGTGTTTAAATACTGTTTGATTCTCCAAAAAAACTATTAAGGATTAGTTATTTAACTTTTATTTTTGCTTCATTTGTATACAGTGGGGAAAATAAGTGTTTAACACTTCACCATTTTTCTCTGCTAAAACATATTTCAAAGGTGCTGTTGGCTTGAAATTTGGCCTGGATGTTGGTAACAACCAAAGAAATCCATATATGCAAAAAAAAAAATTCTAATTAGTGTGCAAGTTACGTTTTGCATAATAAAATCAAATGACGCAGGAAAAAAGTATTGAACACATGAAGACAGGGAGGTGTAGAAAAGTAGCGAAAGGCCAGACAGCAGCTGAAATCTCTCAATAGTCATTCAGCAACCCTCTGCCCTTCGTCATTGTAAATTAATATTAGCTGCTTTATTCCAACATCTACATTAGCAGGATGATGAAGATGAAACCAGGGTGGATGTTTCAGCAGGACAATGCTCCAAAACACAGCCATGGAATCTCTCAAATGCTTTCAGAGAAAGAAAATCAAGCTGTAGAATGGCCCAGCCAATTATCTGACTTGAATCCAATAGAAAATACAAATTAAAGATCAGATTTGACAGACGAGACCCACAGAACTATCAAGATTTTTATATTCTGTTGAAACAATTCATGTGACTTCATTCCCCATATGAGAGGCGTCTTTAAGCTGCCATCACCCCCTCAAAAAATTATTTTATATAAAGTATTAAATATGTTCTCTAGTTCAGTTCTTTCTCTCTCAGAAATATTATTCCCAGAAAAAAAATCAATACGTGGTTCTAGAATTCCTAGACGTTTTCAATACTTATTTTCCCTGCTGAATGCTTATAATTTATTATATTAAAAAGACTTGATCAACCCAGTCAGTCTACTTTAGTGAAAAATTTCCAAATAGAGCTTTTCAAATCACCTGGTGAAATTATATTTATATTCATAACATATATCGCAACAAAACAAAGTAATCACACTGTAAGATTTTTCCAATATCGTGCAGCCCTATTTTAAAACTGTACAAAACAGCTTGTTTTGATGCTGTACTGTATATCATAAACTTTAGTTAAAGGGATAGTTCACAAAAATTAAAATGTAATCACTATTTACTCACCCTTAAGTGGTTCCAAATCCAAACCTTTATGAGTTTCTATTTTCTACTGAGCCTAAATGAAGATATTTTAAAGAAACTCTTAACCATTGACTTCCATACACTAGTAGACAACAAATACGATACTATGGATGTTAATGGTTATGACCCCAGTCATAGAGTCTCGCCGCTTGGCAGGTCTGCCTCGCTTTCGGAAAGCGCGTACTCTCATAAATAATTAAGCAGCAGGGTCTTATCATAGGATAAGAAAACTCTAAGAAAAATAGCGCTACGTCACTGATTTTGATCCCGCCCCAAAAATCATTTTAAACTCGGAAGATGAAATTAGCTGACAAGCTCAAATATATCCAGTTTTCCCACAATTAAAGCTGACAGCTGCTAATGATGCTTAACACACACAAATCAACACAAAAAAGTACTCCAGGTTGTCTTGAACCTTTAAAGGTTCTTTGTGTTTTGTACTTTATGCATTTAAATCATTTATCCCTGACATGATTAACATGCTGGTTTGTAGCACTAGGTTTAGCCATTTATTGCACTATAACAATGAGCATTAAGCTTTTAATAATAAAAACAACATCAGAAAACTCTTAAATGATGTGTTTTATATTCCAGGTGTTTTGGAGATATTCTATAGACATTGGGAAAAACAGAAACACAATTTTAGGGTTTGTTTTTACTTGTAGTTAATTTCTCTTGGTCTACAACAACACAAATTCATTAATTTTCCTTTAGCTTAGTCACTTTATTCATCAGGGTCACCACAGTGGAATTAACCGCCAACTTATCCAACATGTGTTTTACAAAGCGGATGCCGTTCCAGCTGCAACACAGTACTGGGAAACATCCATACACACTCATTCACACACATACTACATACTTCTCATACATACTACACTACCGTCAATTTAGTTAATCCAATTCACCTGTAGCGCATTTCTATGGACTGTGGGGAAAACCGGATTACCCGGAGGAAACCCCCACCAACACGAGGACAACACAAATATTAATAATACAAATTGAGCTTGTTTGCTTGTTGGTGTTCACACTTTAACTTTTAAGATACAAGCAAATGTTATTAGAACAGCACCAGGTTGAGTTAATAATGAATGACCTTTCTTCCTTAAAAATTCTAAGATTCAAAATCTTTACTCCTGTGGCAGTAGGAATGATGCGAGTTATATTAACTATTAAATTAATGTGTGAAAATGCCTTTTTAACTTAAGGTCTGTTTTGAACCTCCACAAACTCAATGATTTGCCTGTAGGTCTCCAGTAAATGACTCCAATAGCAAGAATGTGGATCAGACTCATCAAAGCAGCGAAGAGGAGGAAAACTGGAGAACTGAAAAGAAGAGGAAAAAGTACCAACAACCCACTCATGTTAGCTCACAAAAGACCATGGCTAATGAGTGCGCTCAACAGTAGTGTCTCTAATTCAGTATGTGAATCATATCATATGTTTAAGATAAGATCTGTAATGTTGAAGCTGTGGCATGTCTGTCTGTGAATGATTTGTTGTGCAGTTTGTCATTTTTACATTCAGTAAACCGTCTGTAATATAATTAATTAGCATGTTGAAATAAAAGAGTGAATGAATTGAAGAGTGGATGATTTATATATTAATTTAAAGGGTCGGGAAAAACTAAAACATTTTTTGAGATGTTGACCATCATATAAGTGTCCCGTGCTGCTAAAAACACTGTTAGGACAAATATATTTTACAGAAAGGTGAAAGTTGGTTGTTTTTGCGTTATTTCAAGCAATTCTTCTGGTTTGAAAATGAAATTTTGAAGCTACGTCACGTTGATGAGATTCTTGTTTAAATTTCAGCGTGGAGATTGGCACCACCATTTCTCCTCTGGCCAAACTTCTTGTGAAAAGCTGCAGTCAGGTGGAAATAGAGAATAAATATTAGTCCAGAAAAATAGTATACAAAAAAATAAATACAAAGAGTGTAAAGTTACAAAAATCAATCAAATGACAAAAAAAACAACAATATAAAACAGATATTAGAAATACAAACAAATAAAACATTTTGAGCAGTTTTTGTTGACATTTTAGCCAGGGCATAATACAATGATAATATTGAGCAAATCCTGCAAAATAGAGCAATCTTTAGTGATTCCATATAGTACATAGTGGAATGTGAAAGTCAAACCTTCACAGCTGCCTTTATTATTAACATCTTTCTCTGCTTTCCAAAACAAATGAGCAAAACTTCAAGTAAAACATTAGTGTTCTGTGTCTGAGTGCAGTGGGTAGCACAATCACCTCACAGCAACAAGGTCGCTGGTTTGAGCCTCAGCTGGGTCAGTTGGCATTTCTGTGTGGAGTTTGCATGTTCTCCCCATCTTTGCGTGGATTTTCTCAGGGTGCTCCAGTTTCCCCCACAAGTCCAAAGACATGCGGTACAGGTGAATTGTGTAAGCTAAATTGTGTGAATGAGATTGTATGGATGCTTCCCAGTAATGGGTTGCAGCTGGAAGGCTCATACATTTGCTGGATAAGTTTGCAATTCGTTCCGCTGTGGCAACCCCAGGTTATTAACTAAGCCGAAAAGAAAATGAATGAATAGGAGGAGTTTATCGATTAATATTTTAAATTGTATTTCTTTTGCCTTTGGAAATATGAGATATGCCGTTCTTAAATATTCATCAGTATTTATGAGATATATCCTACTGCAGGCCCTCAGAACCACACACGTTTTAGGCACACACAATCTAGGACACGATTTGGGCAAACCATATGGTAACTAACTCTTTAGCATTATCGCCACCTATTGAATTTCACTAGTATGGTTCCCATTTCAGCCATTATTATTATTATATCGTTACGATCATTTTAACATCTCTGCAGTTTCTGAACTCAAATTATGTAAATAAAAATAATTGGTTAAGACACTTATGACTTTATTCATGTGTTAACATACACAAAGAAAACATTATAAACCGTCTAATTGTAGGATTAAGTGTAAACTAATTCAAGATCGTAATATTATCATAGCTACTTGTTTAAAATCACTTTGTTGTAAAATATAAAAAGCAAACAATAATATGTCACTTTAAAATAAATTAGCCAACTATAGTTAATCATTTAAACAATATATATAGTTATAAAATGATTATCTTAACTGATTATAATTATAAGTTTATATATAAACTACTATCTTTTGCTAAACTGTCACAGCTGTTATATATATATTATTGTCAGATAATGACTGATCAGCTATAATGAATGATTAAAAACTGTTCAGTCTATGAATGGCGATCGGAACAATGCTCCCCATTCGACCGTCTCGATTGCAATATTTGTGAAATAAAGTAAATGCTATTGTTTATTGTGCACAATATTTTGTTAACCATATATATCAAAATATATCGATGACGATGTCCAAGAATACGTTAATAACATTAACATCCGCTGTAACCTTATATGGTTTGCCTAGATTGTGTGTGCCTAAAACGTGTGTGGTTCTGCGGGCCTGCAGCTGGATATTATTAGTATTTATATCATTATAATATGTATATACATTATAATATGTATATAATAATTATAATAACATTATAATATGTATATAATATTATATATATTATAATATGTATGATTTATTTCTTAATACTTGTCAGGGAAAGCACGATTAATAAATAATTTGTCAACAAAAATTATTTTAGTATTTGACTAACTTTCAGTAGGGTTGCGTCAGGAAACGTGTATGTTTCATGCAGCCAATCACCGCACTCAGTATGAATGACGTTCATCTAAAATGCAGACTTGCTTTCAGGTGATTGGTTCACGTATGTGTTTCAATCGGACTGCGGAAGTGCTCATGGTTGTGTCTAGTGGTTTCTGTTACTACACAACCGCAAAACTCAGCACGTTAACATATTAAACAACACATGCAGATGTTTTAATGTAAAACGGGCAAAATTCAGGAAAGAGTTAAACAGCAACCGTAAATCGCCAGTGCGGGGATGGATTTTAGGATCGGTTGGTCTTCTGGAAATGGATAAGCCTGATATTGTCTTATTTAAGTTACACATATTTTGCGTTCATATAAATTAAGATTATGTTGACAAGTCGTGTAATGGCAAACAAGTGGAGAGTCAGATTTGGACTGACTGTCACTTTCTGGCTGTTGAGTCTTCATCTTATATTTGCCCACGATGTGAAGGTGAGATCAGCTGCTGGGATGTACCATATTTTAATATTTATTATTATATTACATGGAAGAAACCATTCTGTATCCTTTTATCTGTGTGTGTTTTTGTGTTAAGCTTAATAAACAGTTTTCTTATTTCTAGAGACAGGTATATACCCTAGTCCAGGGGTGCTCAATCCTGTTCCTGGAGATCTACCTTCCTGTACAGTTTAGCTCCTACCCTGATGAAACCCACCTGAACCAATTAATTAGGACCTGAACTACACTTGATAATTACAGACAGGTGTGTTTGTTAAGGGTTGCAACTGAAATCTGCAGAAAGGTAGATCTCCAGGAACAGGATTGGCCACCCCTGCCCTAGGCTATATACCTGTCTCTAGAAATAAGACAACTGTTGGAAATTTGTTTAATTAATTTTGAAATCATTTTCATTTATAACAAGTCGAAACCTTGTATTCATTAATTTTCTTTCGGCTTAGTCATCAATCAGGGGACGCCACAGTAGAATGAACCGCTAACTATTCCAGCATATGTTTTACACAGTGGATGCTCTTATAGCTACAACCCAGTACTAGGAAACACTCATTCACACTCATACACTATGGACCATTTAATTTATTTAATTAATGTATAGCGCATGTCTTTGGACTTATGGGGAAACCGGGGCACCTGGAGGAAAGCCACGCCAACACAGGGAGAACATGCAAACTCCACACAGAAATTCCAACTCACTTAGCTGGGACTCGAACCAGCGCTCTTGCTGTGAGGCAACAGTGCTAACCACTGAGCCACTGTGTCGACCCATCTTGTATTCAGTACATTATTATTTTGTTTTTTATTATAATAGACAGAATTTTCATCCACAAGTGTACATTTTTGGGTAGACGTGGACTATTTTTCTAATTTACAATAATTTTGTTTCATTTTTATCTTAAATAGGCATAAAAACTATATCTTATATAATTTTACCTCTGACTTTAGTTTTTTATCTTGTATTTTTTTCTCTTTTATTATATACAGGGTTCATACGGTCCTAGAAAACATGGAAAAGTCATGAAATTTCAAAAAGGCATTTTCCAGGCCTGGAAAAGTTTTGGAAAAACAAATAAACCCAAAATGTTTGGGAAAAGTCATGAAAATGTGTTTAACTATTATCTGTGTACTTGAATATATTTGAGATGAACTCTAAAAAATAAAATGGGTACAAAAAGCAATAGCTTAAAAAATCTAAAGCAATTTTAGCTTCACCTTTCATTCACTCGCTTTCACTGCAGTTCAAGATGCATTTTGAGTGTCGTGTCCAGAAACAATATCTAACTGCAGAGGTGAGATACTGCGGCTAATTTGTACTAATCTTAAGTGAAAACACAAGCCACTCACAGCAAGATACTTAGTAAAAACTATTTTACAGATATAAAAATAAACATAATCCACATGGATTGTCACATATTTATTGATATGCAGTAATAAATTTGAACATGCATTTTTTTTTCTAATTTACCACACACAAACAAGAGCATGAATATTTTCCTTAAGCTTTTGAAAAAGTTGAAAAGAATTTTAGTAGTACAAATGTGTATGAACCCTGTATATATGTGAATCTCCATAATTTAGACATTTTTCTGTACTTTATCAATTGCTACCCCACCAAGACAAACATTTTTGGATTGCATTTTTTAACTCCTAATGGCGCTAGTTAACACACTCAATGAATTTTCTTTCAACACATCCCATAATTTCTAAAATAGCAACCTCTACCAAATGATTGATATGTTAGTATATGGTAAAAGTATACTGTAATTAATACATATACTATGATAAAATCAGAAAAGATGAAATGTAAGACCCATTTATTTGAAAACATAATTAACATAAAACATTTTTGAATGCTAAATCTTCATTTATTGAAATATGCTATAAAAATATTTCAGATTCTCGTTTAACATGTTTTCTTTCTCTTTTTTTTAAACAAAAGAGCGAGCAGTTGAAGGGTTAAAGTAATATTCGATTTGTTTTCTTTACACAGTCACCAACAGCTCTGTTGATCAAAGAAGACTCTGATGATCTCAACAACGCTGAAGAGACGCATTTAGAGGATGAAGATCCTGAAGATCTGGAGGTTTTCAGACCCACAGACAAGTGGCAAACTCTCAGACCAGGTGGGTTTATTCCCATGCTGACTGCCGTGTTTTTATCTGATCAAACAGTTGATGAACAGCTCAATTCAACATTACATGTAATCAATGTAGGTCAAGCGGTTCCAGCAGGCTCTCATGTCAGACTCAATCTCCAGACAGGACAAAGGGAGGTCAAGATGGGAGAGGAGGAAGGTTTTAAATACTGGAAGGATGGAAACAGGTAAAGGGATCAAAAAGTGTATTAACATAATAACTGTGTTATAAGGCCGCTCTGCTTACAATCACCAATCAATAACAATTATAC